TTTGTCCCAAATTTCTTTACCAATTGTACAAGTGGAAACAAACATATAATCCTTATATTTTAATGCATAAAAAATAGTTCAAAAATTTGTCTTTCAGTTATGATAAATCTCTATCATCAATTTTCCATTAAGCAAATGGTATTTTAGTTTTAATACTATTTACTAATCTAGAAGGTGTAGAATAACCATCTTGAATAAGCTTCCACATATGATAATCAATTGATTGCATAAAGGTAGACATGTGAGTTTTTCAAAAATCGAAAGGTATATTATCAAAAAAATGTGGTATAGTAATTAAATATTTTTCTATAGCATTTCTATTTCCAAAGTTAGCCATGGATCTTAATTCAAAATTTTTCTAAAACTTAATCATATGAACCCCACTCTAATACCACTTGAAAGTTTGTGAGGGTAGTTAAACACTAAAGAACTAATCCCTAGGCTAACCAAGAGGGGGATGAATTGGTTATTTTAAAATTATCTAACAAAAAATTAAAACCCCTTGATGCGGAAGTAGAACAAATTTCATAATATCATAAATCAAAATTTTCAAACACTAATCAAATGAGAAAAAGATGGTACAATTAAAATGAAAATATTAAATAGAAAAACACGCCAAGATTTGTAGTGGTTTAGTCAACTTGACCTACGTCTACTCCTTAAAGACTCCCTCTCCAAGTATTACTTTAAATAGAAGTGACTCTCCTTTTGCTCTCATAGTAAGGCTGAGAAGCCCTTACAAAATCTTTTCACCAACCCGGTGAGATAGAGAATATTGAATTCTTTTACTCCTTCTTGAAGTAGGCAAAGAACCTGAAAATCCTTTTTAACCCTGCAAATGAAGGCAGATAACTCGAGAATCCTTTCACTCCCTTCTGAATTGGTAAAGAACCTTGGATCTAATGCTGATGAAGATCTCCCTTAGAGCCACCAAGGAAATAGGATAGCAGCTTGAAGATGATGAACACCTTGCTTGGAGCAACCTTTGTGAATTCCTCATAACTCCCCCTCATAAGAATCTCTCTCTCAAGCTCTTGCTCTTCCTTCTCTAAGCTCTCTCAGGTCAACTCCATAATAAAATATTAACTCAAGGGTTAATATAATTGCTTAAATAAGGAGTCTACAAAAGAAGCCCTAAGTTTTAATTCTATGCAACTGATCGACCAGTACGATCGATAGATCATCATGTACGATTAGTACAAAATAGCCCTTTCAGCCAACATGACAAGCACTGCCCTGTACAATTAGTTCAAGAGAATTAGGATGATCATCCCGGACGATTATAATATCATCCTGGATGATTAGTTTAAATCTATTGAATTTCGTCTAGTATGATACCCGACAATGCCTAATCACCCCATGCACTTCTTTATTATCTAGGATAAAAGGGGTCAATCGTCTTGGACGATTAGTTAAAAATTTATGGTATTCATCTAGTATGATAGATGGCGATCCCTTATTGTCCCATGCATGTTCTCTACTATCCAGGACGATCGTTACCAATAGTCCTGTAAGATCGTATTGAATTATGTTTTATCATAATTGTTCTCCTAATCATTGGATTAATTTAGGCATGGTTGTCACAAATCGTCTAGGATGATGTACATCATCATATACGATTAGTACAAAATTTGAAAATTAAAACATTTCCTAAATTGTGATTGGCGACTATTTTCACCATCTAAACTGATCGTCCTGGACAATGGGAATCGTCTAGTAGAATTAGTTTAATCACTCGTAATTAGCATGGATGCTCTAATCATGATTTCTATTTTAATTTATCGTCCAGTGTGATTTGAAATCATCCTCTACGATTAGGTCAAAAACAGAGAAGTCTCTAACTCACCAAATTCTCCCCCTGACTCTGTGTGTGTAAGGTTACATAGCTTGGAGTCCACCAGATACATGACCTGACTAAAGAAAAGTAAAAAAGTACATTAAAATTGAATTTACAGATAGACTCAACCCTAGTCTACCCGATTTTGAGCTAAGTTGCATTGCAAGTGATCTTGCATACTTAAAAGGTTAGTAAGCAAGGCAATAAAAATAGATATGCAATAACAATAGTAGTAAAGAAACAATAATATTTGGTATCATCTAGATCATAGTATTTGGATCCAAATTTACAACATTGATTGGCATATTAAACTTGTTGATTCAGTAACCAGAGTTGTGGGGATATTGTTTACTAACTAGGGATTGAATTTTGATTTTATAGCTTATAATTAAAAGTTCCATCATGATTGCATCAATATGACTTTTTGGTTATGTAGAATTGAGAAATGAGCTTTGTAACACTCCTGATTGATAAGTATCAAGATCGCAGACCCTAGCTTGTTATTTTTAATTAATATTGAACATCAAATTGTGTTTTGTCACCATTGTTATTTGGTTGGCTATATTTATGCGAACTTTATTATTAGAGATTGCTGAATTTGGCGAAGTATTGATCAAAATAGTCAGTACTCTTTTTAAACTACAGCTAAACTTAGGTGCTTCCTATAATTTGTTGGGAGTGTTGTGTAAGTGCCTGGTTTGAATAGTCGAAAATTAGAATTATCAGAAATAGTTTATTAGTAATCATATTTCATTAAGCTCAATTTGATATCCTCTCCTTTGTTGAGCAGTGCATAATTATGTCAACGTGGGAAAGAAGCTTTTTTAATACAAGACCCAATCGCTTTTTTTTTATTTTTTGTTTGGAGATTGCAAATTGCATTTAAGAAAACAAAGACCTATTACAAACTATAAAAAGAAACAACTATCACATTCCTTCTTTATTAGACTATACAAAGAAGAAGGAATGTCAAAAGAAGAAAATAAATCAAAACAAAAGCTATTTTCTAAAGTCAGAGTAGCACACAAATCGGCTACTTTAATACATTCTCTTGAAATATAATGGAAAACAACTTTATTAAAGCCATTGAGAAATGACAACTCTGAAACAGAATTGTGAGCTTTGCATGTTGATTTCATCATAGAATCTTGAGGGTTTGGCCACATTGTAGTTGTCACCTTCAATTATTATATCTTTACTTTCAAACATCCAATCTCGTAAAAATTCTTTCAAAGTAAAAATAGACTCCATCTCCAACTGATTTATGTCCCAATGCATTTTCTTTTTCCCAAAATCAAAAAGAAATTTACCTTTATGATCTCTAACAATGCCTCCAATGCTTGCAATATTCGAATCCAACAAAGAGGCATCCACATTTATCTTTATCGAATCAAGAGGTGGAAGGTGCCAACAAATACCAAACTCCATATGGAAGAAGCACCCCAGTCGACTAGCATCAATCGCTTACAGTAACTAAAATCACATAGCAATAGACCTAGGGGCGATTTTACCATGGAGGCCCTGGTGGCACAAGCCCCCACTGACTGTACAATTAATACTTAATTAATATCATTTATTACTACTTAATTACTATTAAAAGCATATTTTAGGATTTTTTTCTTTCGGTTTTACAGTTCTCGTCGCTCTACTCTACCCCTCCTTTTCACGCATACGGCGGACCAACTGAACTCCTATTTTTCTCTTTAAGCATTTTGTTGATATAATTTTTAAATAAAATAAACCAAAACATATTTGTATTATTATAAAAAATATTTTATTATAAAGTAAAAATGGAGAATCTAAATTTTGAATAAATTATTTTGAAATATGATAGAGAAAATTTTAGTTAAAAATTTATAGTATTTTGATATATAAACTTATAAAATATTTGATAAAATTATTTGATTTTAATTCAGAATTATTAATTTGTTATCATATACATTTCAAAAAATATATATTTAATTTTTTTTCAATGCAATATATATAATATATATATATATATATATATATATATATATATATATATATGAGAGTATCAAGGTAACTTATTATCATACAGTAGCAAAACAGCAATTTAGCAATTATACTAACCAAACAAAATTTACTAATTATGTACCTCAACTTTAAAAAAGCAGCTTTCTGGGACAATAATTTACAACTTGCTTTACTGACCAGCTACAACAGTCCCAAATGAACTCTTAAGTTTTGTTTGGGACAGCTTTCTTTATGCTCTTTATAGCATATTTTAATATAATATATTAAAAATTTTGTGCTAAAAAAGTTGCTTTGAAAAATAGTAAGAAAGCCGTCCCAGCCTAGTCTTTGCATTCATCAGACGTACTACCACAATCACATTCAATGTAATAAAGATAGAGAATTACTGAAAAAAATATAAGATTGGTGCAGGCACAGAGTCTTGCTAATAGTACGCAACTCCAAAACCCAGTAACTTCTCTCTGTAAGTATATACAAAATTAAACTTCCAATAGGGGTGTCAATTCGGGTCAACTCCGTCGGGTTCGGGTCGACCCGACCCGACCTGGATCTAACGGGTCAAACCAGAACCCCGACCCGTTTTTGCAAACGGGTCGGACATTTCAACCCGGACCCGACCTGACCGGGTTGCCGGGTTGACCCGAAATGACCCGTAACCCGGCTGCAGTTGACGACGCGCGAGGGCTTTCCGCTTTCGGCCGCGGTTGACGGGGCGAGGCTGCGGGTTCGGAAACGCACCAACGCGCGAGTCGCGCGACTGCGCTAGCGCCTAGGTCGATAGGGTTCGCCGGTTCGGTCCGTTCGGAAGTCGGAACCACGGGCGACGGGGCGAGGCAGCGCCGCAGCGGGCGACGGGGCGAGGCCGCGGGGCTTGCGGGGCATTGCGGGGCAGGCTGGGCAGCGCGGGCAGCAGGCAGCGGTTGAAAACGGTGGGAAATTCAAATTTTTTTAAAATAAACGGGTTGTCGGGTTGACCCGTTAACCCGCCGGGTCAACCCGAACCCGACCCGTTTTTCAAACGGGTCAAATATACGAACCCGAACCCGACCCGTTTATCAAACGGGTCGGGTTCAACCCGGATTTTCCGGGTCGGGTCCGGGTCAGGTTTTCGGGTCGGGTCAAAGATTGACACCCCTAACTTCCAACTGCACGTTAAGTATATACAAAATTAAACTGCAAACAGCACAGATGCCGAAAATGTAGCAGTGCTCAACGAGAAGCAACTCTCATTCTCAAGGGAGCGCCAAACAGGGAAGCTAGTAGTAACACTAGGAAACCTAAACTTACACTGTCTTCAAAATTATACTATATCAAAAATCACCTAAAGGATAAAAAATCACCTACATGATAGAAGAAATGAGTTGAATTTCACCAATAAGAACCCAGAAAAAACCTGTGAGATCACCCGAAGACCCTAATGAGAAAGTACGTTAACCAGCTTGGTCCGGAAGATATCATCATCATCAACATTGTCACTACCGCCATAGCCACCAATTTCATTAATCTGATAGCCATTAAGAAATTCTCTATTTCGCTTGCCAGCAGTAGCCTCGAGATGCCGATCATTTACTTCAGCTCCAGTTGTCCTATACTTAACCTGGCAACTTAGATCAACGTGCTCCAACTTTGCCCACATACTATCTTGAGGTTTTCCAAATCTTCTCTTGTCTTTAAGAATTTCCTCTAAAGGTTTTGGTCCCTCAAAGTCCACGGTCGCTTGACGCCTTTGAAGCTGAGGTCTAAAATCCTGATAGTTCGTAAAATCTGCCTTGGATCTGTTTTTCTCTTCTTTGATTTGGGCTAGAGTTTTCGGTCCATCAAAACCATTACTAATAACTTTTGCAGATTTCTCTGCATCAGGAGCATAGCTCTGTTGAACCTCAGAGGTGATACGAGAGTTTTTCTGTCTTCTCTTTTCCCTCTCCCGATGTTTGGAACGGGTGAACTTGCTAGTTCCTGATTGAACTTGTTGCCACCTTTGCCTATCATGATATGTGTCACCGTTTGAAGAAGTATTCATACACCGCCCTCGTTGTGAAGCACACCTACAGTGTATCGAACCATTTATTCCACGTCTTGTAAGTTGTTCCTGGCTCCTAGGAAGTGCATGGGACCAGCAACGTTTTCTAGAATAGAAGGGTAGCCAGCGACCATCAATCCTCCTGCGCTTCTTCAGATGTTCTCGAAGGTCCAAAGCAGCATCTTCTCTGGCATGCAATTCATGGACCCTACGCAGCAATTTCTGTTTCGGATGATCGTCATGCATTGGCTCAAATATTATCTCTTCCCTTGGTAAATGAGAGCTATGCTGAAAGTAACCAGCAGCATAAATATCATCGATGTAATCAAACTTTTCGTTAAGTCCTTCAGGATAACCAATATGGTCATAACAAGCAGGGCCATCAAAATCATACTCGACTAAGCTGCTGCGAAATAACTCAGATTCTCTAATATGAGCAAGTTGATAATCAACATCCTCCTCATAGGCCAATTGCTTTGAACCACCATCAACAAGTACATCAAATTCTGGTGAAGATTCCCATCGCTTATCTAATTCCTGCTCGACGCACTCTTTCGCAATTTCCTCAGAACTCTGATAAGGAGAAATTTGACCATTATGATCCAAAAGCTCAACAGATTGAATCGGGTTGTCAGCTGGCTCCTCACATTCGGGCAATATGGACTGTATCGAGGGGCTAAATTCCTCCAGTGCACAGCTAGGAACTGCCTGATGGGAAACCTCCATCGTTTTGCTCAGCACCAAGGATTCTGCTGGAAGTTCTACTGATGCTAGTCCAGTATCACCACTGGATATTTTATTTTGAAGAGGACAATTAGCAGCTGCTTCAGGAACTACTCTTGAAGCTTTTTGAGTAGGAAAGGTATCATGAAGGTAAGGGCACTGCTCTCCTTTGGCACAAATTGCATTAAAGTAGAAGTAGCAAGGAACATTCAACTTGCTCGTGGGGACAGCGGAAAATGAAGGGGTATAAAAGAAATCAGCTTTTACTCCATTGAACACTTCAAGTGGCTGGAAAAAGTAGCAACATGAGAACAGATCACAATTACTTGAAAACACCAATAGTACAAGGAAAAATATAAAAATGACACAAATTCAACTTGCGAAGAAGTAAACTAATAATATGTCATGTCAGGTTTGGTTGCTTCGGTTGAAAAATGAAATAGAGTAAATACAAATGGACAAAGCCAGGATAAGAATAGCCATCCGCACTAGCACACTTTGATTGGTTTTTACAATATAAAAATAAAACAGCATAAACTCATACACTTTAGCAGGATGGTCAAAGTGGCATGTCTATCCTGCTTGTATACTCATATGTACCTATCCAAATAATCCATAGATACCTAATAGGTCCTGGTTAAGGAACTCTGTCGAAATGGTCATGTCGCCAAAAAGGCTATCAATTGAAGGGAACGTGACCTCACAGAATACTGGTTGGTGCCAATCCATAGATCAACATTCACTCTCCGCTTACATCATGGCATGAACACTAGCTTTGGTAGCTCAATCCCAAGGCGCCATCATCCTCGACGAGCTTTGTCAAAGGATGCTTCCAAACCAATCTACACACTGATAGCCACTCACAATAGCAAAGCAGCAGCTATCTACACTGCTAATATCCACGAACTGGTTATAGGAAACATAGCTCAAAAGCTCGAGGCTATGATTTTGTTGACTAGGTCCATTCTCGAATCATGGCTATTTCCATCCAAGGGAACTCCCCTCGCCCAAAGATCTAAATATTTCCTCTAAGAACTCACTCTTGCATCCAAAGTACCCCTTTCACAGACTTGCTCTAAATGCTAGATCCCGAAAACTAACCCAAAAATATTCACCCCCAAGATTAATCCAGGACACTCAACTAGGAGGGAGCCATGTCAAAGGCAGGGATCCACATGGGTATCAACTAGGTGGGTCACATGCCTATGTCAGTCCATAACATTCAAACTATATATTATATTTTCTATTTTTATTCTAGGTATAACCCTCCCTGTAGCCTTATTAGTCCTATAAATAAAAAATAATCAGTCATATTTTAGTACTTAATTTTGGATGCTATAGGAAAATTTTTAGTGTCACTCGAAGCCTTTCATTATTTCTCCATACTTGCTCAATCCTCACCGAATTTTCTAGCTCTAATCCATCCATCACCTGCAAATAAGGTAAAATGTCATCCACGGGAAAATTTGAGAACAATATCATCAAAGGTATGGTAAGTGTAGATTAATGCATTTGACCAGAAACCCCAAATCACCATTGAACATTGAGAACTAAGCCTACACTATTTTTCATGACTTGATGAAAATAGAAGAGAGATTTACTAAGATAATCTATGATACAATAGGGAGAATGTGGAGGACTGCACCAATGGAGAGTACCCTAGAAGGATCATCTAACTTGACAACTCGTCGATGAAGGTCAAAGAACAAAGCGCTTAGTTTGAAGCCCAATGCCAAAATACTTATAGTCACACCAATGATGAAGAGTACAAACCTACACCTCGGTGAGTGCGAAGGAGGAAATTTGAACTAACCATTGCATTTTCTAGGGAGATTGCCAAGGCAAGACCACCTTCCATGTTTAAAATGTCCAATCCAAAATCATACCGAGACAAGTCAAACCCTACCTACCATGTCTCATATTTTGAGTCGGATGCCTTGAAGTGTTGGTTATTCTTTACCACCTTCAAGGAGTCTGCCCATTAGTGGTTCTCTCGCCTGCCACTAGCCGTGATCACTTCATTCTAAATGTTCAACAACAACAACAACAATATCAAGCCATTATCCCACTACGTGGTGCCGGCTACATGAGTTTTTTTTCTTTATTGTGTCAAGTAAAAAGTCAAATTCTCATTTAAATCTAATAAAGAAAGGTTATTTCTAATCTTTTCTAACCAAGTCGGTTTAGGTCTACATCTATCTTTCCTAATATAAGCAAAATCTAATACATCTATTCTCCTAACTAGATCATTGGAAGGCCGCCATTTTATGTGGCCAAACCATCTAAGACGACTCTCTCTAATCTTATCTTCCACTAGAAGCTACACCAACCTTTTCACGTATATGCTCATTTCGAATCTAGTCTCTAAGTGTAAAGCCACTCATCCACCTGAGCATCCTCATCTTTGCAACACTTAACTTAATATTATGATTCTCTTTCAATGGCCAACATTCTGCACCATAAAAAATTGTAGGTCTCACCACCATCTTATAGAATTTTTCCTTACGTTTGAGGGGTACTTTTCTACACACAACAAGCTCGGTGCATTCCTCCACTTCAATCATCAAACTTGAATTCTACTAATAATATCCCCATTTATTTCACCATCGCTCTGAATAATAGAGCTAAGATATCTAGGATGTATACTCTTATTAATGACTTGATTGTCGAAATTCACAACCCCCCACTAGATCTATTACTACTAAAATTAGACTCTATGTATTCGGTTTTAGATCTACTCAAACGAAAACCTATAGACTCTAGGGTTGATCTCCATAATTCAATTATACTTTCAACTCCCTTTCTAATCTTATAAACAAGAAGAATATCATCAGCAAAAAGCATACACCAGGTTACATCCCCTTGCAAATGTCTAGTAAGAGCATTCATGACTAAAGCAAAAAGATATGAGCTTAAGGTTGATCATTGATATAATCCAACTCAAATAGGAAAATTCTTGGTCAAACCACCTTGTGTTTGAACACAAATAACAGCACATGCATACATATCTTTAATGACTTGAATATAAGGATTATTAATCCTTTTCTTTTCTAGAACTCTCCATAGCACTTCTCTTGGAACTTTATCATATGTTTTCTCTAAATCAATAAATATCATATTTAAATCCTCCTTATTCTATCTATACTTCTCCATAAAACCTTTTAATAAATGTCTAGCTTCCATAGTAGATCTACCTGATATGAAACCAAATTGTTTTTTAGAAACTTTAATATCACGTCGTAACCTATGCTCCATAACTCTCTCTCATAGTTTTAAAATATTGACACATTAACTTAATTCCTCTATAATTCGTAAAATCTTGTGCATCACCTTTATTCTTAAAAATAGGAATCAACACACTCATTCTTTACTTATCTAGCATCTTTTTAGTCTTCAAAATAATATTAAAAAGTAAAATAAGGCAAGAAATTCATTCATCTCCAAAGCATTTCCACACCTCTATTAGAATATCATCAAGTCTAATAATTTTTTTCACACTTCATTTTATTTAAAGTTTCTCTAACTTAGATTTTACTAATACGACAATTAAAAAAAAAAATCTTTATTTTCATTTAGGTTTATTGACCCTATATCTCAAACCACACGAGAAAGGACCCAAACTGATGAATAAAGCGATATGAGCCTTGGCGCCACACGTCACTTGAAGGGTCAAACGACCTCTGATTGCCAATCGGATGGCGTCGTTGTGATCAGGATGTCGAATTCTGCTAGGTCGAGGCCCCTCGAAGTCGAACCAGATGAGATCGGTCAAAAAAGATGACTGACACCAGAAATTAAAACACGAGACTGATTAAATGACGTTAGATTGACAAACGGACTGTGTCGTTATGTTCGGAACACTGAAAATACCCTAAATACATTACCAATTTATTTAATTGAGATTATGCACGCAAATCGAGACGGTCTCATGTAAAAAATTATCCTTGAACTGCTCAAATGAAGTCTGATCGTGAAACGGACTGCGTCATTGTATTCAGAATACCGAAAATACCCTAAATGCACAACCAATTCATTTAATTGAGGTTGTGCATGCAAATCGAGGCGGACCCATTTATAAATTACTCTCGGCACTGCTCAAACGACGTCCGATTGTGAAACGGACTGCGTCGTTGTGTCCGGAACATTGACAATACCCTGAATGCACTATCAATTTACCTAATTTCGATATTCGGCAAAATTGACACGTAGAATGAGGCAAGAATACATGCAAAACGAGGAAACACAAATCGATGCAGTTTTGACTTAACTAATATAGTTTTGTCATTCAAAATTAATTACATAAGTGATGGAGTACTAATATAGCACTTAACTTGGCAAAGTGTTAACAAAGTTCAGATGCCGAATAAGGAAAATGTCAAACTCAACTTAATGTCATAATCACATTACTGTGTTCTGTAGAATTTTCATCAACCTGTCAATCCAATGCAGCTGACTTTAAAATTGTGCAATAAGAGGCGCGTCTTGAGGCGCGCCACTGCGCAATTTGACCCAAAACCGCCTCGAGGCTTACGCAATTCCTCTCCTGGCAGAGGCATACGCCTCACTTGGACTGAGGCGCGCCTCAGAGGCGCAATTGCGCAACTCTGGCTAAGGCGTACGCCTCAAATATATGCTTAGTACCGCTCAATATATGCTCGGTATAGCTAGGTATTTGCTCGGTACTGCTAGGTACATGCTCGGTACAGCTAGGTATTTGCTCGGTAATGCTCAGAACCGCTAGGTACATGCTCGGTACTGCTAAGGAACATGCTCGGTACCACTCGGTATCTTCCCATAAAAACAACTTACGAACTTCAAAAACAAATAGAACTTCAAAATTACTCTTACAATAAAATTTTGTTCCGGGGGCGCTGTCCCTTGACCCCACGACCAGACCAGGCAGGTCGAACCCGGCCAGGGGGCAGCGCCCCCTTGGACCCCCGGCAGTCCGGCATATTGTTCTATTCATCATCTTTAGTAATAGTTGTTAGTGTTAGTCTACTTGTTCATGAGTGCATGCTTTGATTGGAAGACATTGGACTCTATAGGAGAGGAGGAAGGGGTGAGAAGATTCCCTTGAAGACCCATTTAGTGATGGGACATGATTGATACTTGTCTCATATAAGTCTGGTTAATCGTTTTGTGGAGCACGAAAATTTATTCGCAGGCACTAACGAGAATTTTACAGAGGACTGATCGCCTGTACGATATTTGATTTCGTCTGGTAACTGAAAATTTTTAAGCAGACGAGACTGATCGTTGATTCTTCCATGAAATTACGAATATCT